CAGCTCCATTTTACCAATGCTACAATGTAATTTGGAACCTGGTGTAAATGTTTGTTTCATATTCCATTTCGTTTTATGTAGTTAATCGTTGTAAGAAACTGGTGAAACGCGGGCCTCTCAGCACCCAGTTGATATGTAGTAATTTCAAGTTAAGACATTTGACACAGTTACACATCCCAACAGTCCCTGCCTGTAACCTTAGTTTCTGATTGAAATACCATATGATAAACAAGCAACGGTAAACCCCTGGGTCCGGGCCTTCTTATGACCTATTTCAGCCGCCATGATGTGTCGCAGTAGTACGTTGATGGGTACGCGTTAAAGCCATAGTTGTTTACTGGGATGTCGTCGGATTTCCAATCAATGCCTTAGCTACACTGATGGGTCACTAGTATCGTGAGAGTACGCGCTCGTCAAAACACGACTATAGGCCTATTCAATGTTTTCACACCCTTATACCAAATATAACAAGAAATTCTGAATTCAGTGAATAAAAGACTTTTATTTAATAAGGTATTACCAAAAACTGGCAACGCAGCAGAAGCACATGACGAGATTTGTGTTCATTGATTATCTGAAATAGAGAGTACAAGTCTTGGCCTAATAGATGCATTTATAAATACTTAGATTTTGGTTTCCAAAGAACCAGTAGACTTACCGTGTTTGGAAACTGTAGCCAGACGCCTCATGCGTATTAATTCGTCAACTTGATCTATCAATTGCCCTAGTGTGTCCTGAACCGTCGTCTGTCCGAAAAGTGTACTGTGTGTGTGGATTTTACTGCGTAGAGTGCGATAAAGTCTGTTCGTTTCATTATAATCTGGAGACGGGATAGCTGGTATATTTCCATCTACATCTTGGACAGCCTGTCAAGTCCATCTGCAACAGAGCTTCAAAACTAGATCAACTACTTCATGATACAAAGATGAACATAACATACCTGTGAACTCTGGCATTTGTAGATGTGTAAAAACCATGTGCTTACATAGAATTAGACAGGTTTTAAATAAACGGCAGATGCAAGTGCCGGATTTTCTTTGTTCAGCCTGCTTTCACATACAACATAATGAGTCCAAGTCATCTATTACTTTTTAGATGGTGTATTATCATTAACAAACCTTTTGCATCAGATCGATAGCTTCTCTGACTTGGTCCCAGCTTGACAGGTGCCTGGGTCTGATAATAATTTCGAAGACATCACTGGTATCCACAGCCACTGAACACTCAGTATTAGTTTGACTGGTTGATGGAGTAGCGTGATCCATAATACTGCAGAAAATAACAAATCTTTCATTCTGCCTGATAACAATAAATAACAGTTAGGAACGAATATGCGGCCAGTTACGGTCACATGCGGCAGAAACAATTATTTTAGCTAAAGAAAACTAACTTCCATTCCCCATATCTAAAAAGCAATGCTCGAAATATAACGGGTTAAGATTTTATGACATCAGAAAAACGAGCTTGCCTGCCAGTTAGGAACGATTATGCCGACATTTCGAGTTCCATACAGCCGCAACGCTTATTTAAGCTAACAAAACTAACCTTGGCTCCCGATATCTGAAAAAAAAGAATTCAGAACAAAACGCATTAACATTTTATCACACAAGACTAGCCGGATTGCCTGAAGAAATACACTGACTTGAGTAGAAGCAGCAAAAACCCAGAAAAAATCACTGATTCGAAATCAATTTCACGCCAACCTATAGAACATTACACTAACTGCGATATTTTAGCCCACCGAAACATTAAATTACATAGCTTCAAAAAAGAAATAGCTGAAAGAAGCACAGAACAAAGAAAGCCGACCGCCATTGCTTACAAAGATGGAGGATATAATGATTCCCGCCTCATTCACATTGGTTGCTAAGCTGAAGGGCACATTTGCGAAATTACACCTATATTCGATATCTGTTGTTTCTCTGTATCAATGGTAATTAACGGATATAATCGATTGGTTGTATCAATACACATACAGTCAGTTAGTCAGCTGCAACGTAGGACCAGGCACGTATATGCATCGGTCCAAGTTGCCATACCGCATTAGCACAACAAGATGAACACCGGATTCATAAAAGTAGTTAATTCAGTGGTGGTAATATATAGAAGAAAGATTGATATAAGGAGATAGTACAGGAAGAAAGAATTAGTTGGTAGAAAGAAAGATATGAAGTGATTTTAATCTCTTAGTTTAAAGGAAGACAGAGAGTGTATACACCGACGCCATTGTGATCGATTCTGAGCCATGTCACCAACAGTCTCCAACCATTGGTTACGATAGTCACGCGGACCCCAACCAGGTAGTCTGCATCTACCAACATGGCTCAGACCAGAAGTTAGTGACTTCAAGCACTGATGCCACGTTTTGGTTTGGCCGCCCCTAACTTTCTTCCAGTCATCCCTAACACCGGTTACCATTGCGCGTCGTGGTAATCGGTGTTCAGGCATACGCAGCACGTGGCCTAACCATCTCAGTCGATGAAGATTCATGACCTCATCAACTGACTTACCATCATTCCCTAATACCCTGCGTCTAACCTCACTATTACTTACCCGGTGATCCCAGCAGATGCGAGCAATATTTTTAAAGCACTAAAGACCACTGTATGACCACCTCTAATCCAATTTCCTTTTCAGGTACCTCCAGCAGAACCCTTCCACGGTGTGGGCATCCGGGAAGTGATAACCGCCCTCATACCTCTAACAGCACTCAATACATATACACACTACCGTTGTTATAAAAAATAAACGTTATCTCTGGCGTTTGCCCTTCTACCTGAATAGTATCGTCATAGCATCCTTCCAGGCTATTCTGCATTTCATCGGACTTTTGGCCTGGATTATTACTGAATAATACTATGGGATGTATCTTTTTGATTATGTTGCTGGTGGCACCTCGGGCAGAGAAACATTTGTTAATCAAGTGAACCCGTTTGTGGTTGTTGACTCAGGAAGAGCCTACAAGTAATATTTATTTTAAGACAATTCTTATCATCGTTTTGTTTAATATATTATTCTTTGTTGCATGTGTTATTTGTTTTCGTTTGGATTTACTCACAAACAGACACTTAGACTTGTAGTGTTAATTCTTTTGATATATAATCAGTAAATGTGCGTATTGTTACATCTTGAATACGTGTTTTTGCTGGGATCCACGACAAAGACCTGGACTGCAAAATGTAAAACGAATAGTCGCGGTTACATCCCAACTCAGTAAAACAATTACAACTTACTTACTTACGCCTGTTACTCCTAATGGAACATAGGCCGCCGATCAGCATTCTCCAACCCACTCATTCCTTGGCCTTCTTTTCTAGTTCCATCCAATTCTTGTTCATTTTTCTCATGTCTAGCTCCATTTCCCGGCGTAATGTTTTCTTTGGTCTTCCTCTCCTCCTTCGGCCTTGAGGATTCCATGTAAGAGCTTGTCTTGTGACGCAGTTCGGAGGAGGTCAGAAAAGGTGAACACAGGAAGAATTGATCGGTATGGCAAGGTTTGGCTTCTCAAACATGATAATTCCGTGTAACTGATTTCTCTTCACGTCAAATTTACTATTCTGTGCCGGGCCTAAATGTGTTTTCTAGAAGCTCTCAACGACACAACTCTGGGTGTCACAATAGGATGAGTCAGTCTGGACAAGGATGTGACCACCACGCAAGATCTTACAGATCAGGTAGTCACATCGTGACAACTCTACAGTTTTGGGATTAAGTGTATTATCCTAGCGACAAAAATAAGTACACCTATACCGATCTAGACTAAAATCCATAAGGACAGCTATGCTTAATCACAAGAAGGTTGATGCGAAATTCCTTGACTTCTCGAAAGTTTTTATAGAGTCGATCATATGTCTCATCAGTAAGCTCAAACTGTAGGATGTCAGTTTACCGTTAATTGATTGGTTCCCATCTTATCTAAATAATTAACTTTTAAGGATCAAGGTGAACTGCACTTTTACTTAGGTTGCGGAATATTTTAATGGGGTCCCTCATGGTTCAGTACTAGGACCTCTTTTCTTAGTTTATATAGGTGACCCTACTCAGCAAGCATTAGTTGATGTATAAATCTTCACTAAAAATGTGAAACTTTGTAGAGAATTCGGAAACCAAGATTATAAACTCACTTTTCGGTAGTACCTGACTCGACTTCAAAGTTGGGCAGATAACAATGAACTCCCAACAAATTGAACAAGAAGGTAGTCTATCTGAAACATGTTGCAGACTATCTCAAGTCAAAAACTATCTATCTGTTGGTTTCTTATGATCTAACGTCCAAATCTAGTTAGAAAGAATGCCCTTTTTGAGAAAATCTTGCACTGGTAACGTTTTAGAGCATTTTTGGACAGTTCACAAGTAGAGTGTTCCATTTGATCTTCCACAGTTTGATTCGACTCCATTTAGAGTATAAAAATGTGGTGTTTATATCCTCACTCTAAAATGGTAAAAAATACACTCGAACTTATCCAGAGACAAGCCACGAAATCACTACCTGTACTCAAATTTAAACTTAACGAAGAGCGACTCTAATCACTGAATCTTTACCCATTCGAGTATAGGCGACTCAGAGGTGACCATCTAATTACTTACAGCATCTCAAACATTCCTATGCATACCCTTAAACACCTACTTAAGCTCAGTCTTGACAAAAACCTTATGGGTAACGCTAGAAATTAGAGATTCGATAGCATAACGGATTGTAGGCACGCCATTTGCGCTTTAAGAATAGTCGAATTCTAGAATTCATTGCCAGCTGGGACAGTCCAAGCAACTTTCCAGGAGTCCTTTGAGAGTAATGATAAAAAACAATATCTCGCTACAATTTACTAATTCTTATTTTTCTCTTTTATCGTTAATATGCTTAGGTTCTTACCTGGAGGCTTTGGTGATCCATAGCTACTAGATACAGTAGCTCGTTAAGCGAAGACTTCTTCTGTTTCATTCAAAAATCTTTGAGTCGTTTGAAGGTCAACATTCTTCATCTAAGTTACAATCCAAACAGCTGATAATGAAAATCCGACCCGCGACATTTTGACGGTGCGCTACTTTCCGCAAATGTTTCGAAAATTAATTTTCGAGCCCAATAAGCTTTTTCAGAATGTAGATTTACTTTATAAAAAATAAAAAAGTTCAAAATAGGTCAAGTGCGTTCGCACTTTGAAAGTTCATGAATATTCGGCAATGGAATTATTAAAAAAGTACGAAATACCTGTTCCAAAGTTTGTAGTTGTTCGGAATGTGGATGAGGTCAGAGCTACTTGTAAAGAATTCGGTAAGTACATTCAATGAATAGGTTTTTTTCTTCAGTTCCTGTCATTCAGTAAGTTTAATTTGTTCCGGAAATGTCTATTAAAGGTTATTATAGATGTCGTTAGTTGACTGTGATTTACAAAGACATATAAATCATAACTCTCCTGCTTCGATTATCGTGAAGTTTTTCTCAACTTTTGGACGTCTACATGTTCAATTAATGACCAATTTAAAGCTTATATGGGTTCGAAAGCAAAGCTGGTTTTTTATACTTTGGATACAACACTTTTGTTAGCCAAAATATTTTAAATATAGTGTTAAGGTTACCCAAGATCCCACACTACCTCGTTAAGCTAAACAGTTAGGGTTATGTACCCTCGGTATTTTAATTTTTTGTTGTGCAGACATTTCTGGACACAAATTTTTATTTTCAACACGAGGAATTAAAGACAAATAGTCACAATCACATGCCTTGTCCACTAGGGGTGATGTGTCACTCTTTGTGTACAATGAGCTATTCTATGCCTTTATGTAGGTTATTGGATAAGACCATCTGTTTAGTTAGACCAAGACTCAATTCTTCCATCAAGCTGTTTATTACAAGTTTAATTCACGCCGGTTTATTGATTAAATCCATAAAATATCATTCAGATTGCTGATAAAATATATAGTTGTTTATGAGAAAGGTAGTTATTTGATATTCAATGGGCGTTGATAACCGATTCAAAATTTATCATCACCAGACTCAGGGTCCTCATCAGCAACAACTTCAAAACTGATTACTTTGAAAAATAAGTGTTTAAATCTTGTCTTTGAAACGTAAAAATTTTGACGTTACAATATTGTTGTTTTAAATTGCCTCTTTAAAAAATTACTTTTTTCGCTTAAATATCACATCAATTTACTCTATTGGGTAGGTTCCTTAAGTTTTACTGTTTCCCAATCAAAATAAAAATGTTATATGTACTGCATCATCTATTCACATGGTGTCCCTTATTTCTGACTGCCTCATAAATATTTATGTGGTTAAGTCGCCTAGCTTTTTCGACAGTATTTCAACGTTACTAAGAGCATAGTATTTTACTAAAAGTAAGATTGTAGACATGATAATTATTTAAATAAAACTTTGCCGAAGTTTTGCTCTCACAATAAGTTTATTGGTTAGTGTGAAGCAGTCATAGTTTTGTGTGCCCTAGTGACCAGATATAAGTACATTTACTCGGCACTGATGCATAAAGATCGGTTGGCTTTTGCTAACTTGCGTCACTTATGTCATAGGCGAGATGTCCGTCTACCAACAAAAGGATGAGTTTATTACATAGAAATTTGCCGTGTTCTATTCTGTGTATAAAGCAGGAACATCAAGAATTGGTGACATTCATAAGTTACTAGTACTTGATCATAGGCATTTTCGAAACATCGCTTGTGTACTTTCGTGCCGTCGAGTAAGCAATGTTGAGGTATCAGGTTGGTTACTAGGTAACCATGGCAAGTCGGATGATGAGGCAATAAACCTTGATTAACTGAGTTAGATAAAACATGTATTACTACTACTTACCTCGACAGGTGATGTGATCTGATTTATGGGTAAGCAATAAAGAATCTAGGGACTCCTAAACCAAAACGTGGCACCAGTCCATGACGTCATTGACGGTTGGAATAAGCTGTTAACAGGTGTCAGTCAGTCAGTCAGTTAACAGGTGTAGATTACCTGGTTGGGGTCCTTAAGATTACCGTAACCAATCGTCAAAGACTGGGTGACATGGGTCAATGGCGTAAGTCCATTCTATCTTTGCCTTTCCCCAAGACCTAAGTCCCGAGTACACGATCCCGAACCTCTGCATCACCAACATGGTGTTGCCACTGGGTGTCAGTGATCCTTTGGAGACGACGATGTTCAAACACAGAGTCGTCTAATATCCTCAACTTGGAGAGACCAGAATTCACTATCATATGGCGAAACTTTTCTCATCGATGTGCCGTAGGTTCGATCTTTTACATCCAGACTAATATCACAAAGGTGTCAAAGATTGCTCAGATTGTAATAAACCGTTCTGGCTCTCACTATACGTGAATTAATCTCGTCACTCACGCCACCACCGGCACTTGAACAGGTACCCAGATACGCGAAATTCTCGAATACTTCTATCTGCTCACTACACAGAATGAGTGCAGGTTTAGAGTTCCCCCAGTTTTGTAAAAGTAACCTGTATTTAGGTGCAAAGCCCCCAAATGCCCTGGTACGGCCGAGAGTGGGGAGAGTCCGCTCTCCCTCTCGAAATGCTCTCATATGGCCACGCGTACATAGCCCCTGCCAGAGAAGTCCTACTCACTGCCTTCACGTGGCGGGGGTGTTGTTTACGAAAATGAAAGGACGGAAAGCGGATGTCCGGCGCTTTAACCGGATCCCAAACCAATGGTGCACATGAGCTCCAGTATCCTGAAGGAACAAATGGCGCATGAACCAATCATTGGTCACCGGCTACCATGGGACTGCATCTCCTTACGATGCTCCACTGCCTTGTGGATCAGACGTTCAGGTCAAAGGCTCGGGGTGTGGCCCCCTAAGAAAACCACCTGCTTCGGTTTGGGCACCCGGGCAGTATCACAGCTCTCACACAAATCAATTGAGATTCGTGTGGCGCATATGAATTTGGTGCCTCCTTGTACCAATACCTATGTGTTAAAATAAATAAATAAATAAGACACTGATTGCTAATTGATCAAGTGCGGATTGCTTGTGTTAAGTATCGTCACAGTAAGATGATGTCACTCGCATACTCAAGTTCAAAAAGTATTTCTCCTGTTAAAAGGTCCACACCACAGTTATCTACATCCATCAGAGTTGTTTTCAGAACGTCATCGATGGCAAAATTGAAGAGGGATGGTGAGATTAGGCAACCCTATTTCACCTGACTGTTTGAGTAAAACAGTAGAGAGAGGTGGTTGTACGCCTTCATTCTGTTTGAGGTGTTTGAATACAGTGCTTTCATGATGTCAATAAACCTATCAGGCACATACTCGTTCAATAAACGATCCCAGAGAACAGTTTTGTCTGACGAATAGAAGACGGACTTGTTGTCAAGATACACTACTGTTGTTAGCTTGCAAGAAGTATGACGATGTTCTAACTCATAGTAGAGAGTTAAGATATGATCGTTACGTCATCGAGCAAAACGAAAACCAGCCTGCTCCTCGTGAGTCAATCTTTCCCGAGTTTTGAGCAATTTACGAAATATGACGGAAGCCAGTAGTTTGGACGCGATCGGAAGTAGACCTATCTCTCGATAGTTGTTGCACAGGTGATGTGAATCCTTTTAAAAGACGGTGACAACTGTCGATTCATTCCACGATATTGAGACTCTGTAATTGCCAGACCCTTATAAACAACTCAGTCAGTCGCTTCACGCGAAAGAAGGTCGCCACCATCTTTAAACAAGGCCAGAGGTAAGTCATCTGTGCCTGGCGACTTGTGACACTTGAAGAGTCGGAGTTCCTTATGGACTTTCACTTCGTTAGATAGATCAGTTGTCCCTGGTCACGGAGGGCAGGACGGTCTGGTCGATATGGTTGGGGCAGCTAACCATTTGAACTGCTCCTCAAAAACCTCTACCCATCGTCCAAGACGGAGGTAGATGTTATTAGTTGACATCCCATCAACTTCACAGATTGTTTCACTCACACCAGACTTCTTGGTGCCAGTATCTCGGATGAGTTGAAAGAGCTCCCAGCAGTTACCAGATGCAGTTTGTGTTTCCAACTCGTTAGCTGATGTGTGAGTGGGTAAAATAATGATTGGTTGTTTGCTTAGCCAGACTAGTAGATAGTTTGACAGGCACTAGATGAGTTTTATATTTCCCTAGTCTTATTATTATTGTTGTTGTCGGTTTTTTGGTGTAGAAATATACTTACGTTCTAGTCAGGCTAACCACGTGTTTGTGATCTGTGTAGTGTTGAAGTCGTGTAGAATAGACACTGGAAGTGTATCTAGTGTAGATATCCATTTGATGTAAATTATCGTCCCATTCATGTAGACGGGAAAACCAAGCGTTAAAACATGAGCATGATCCGATAACTAGGCTTCTCGGTCCTTACTCAAACTATGTACAATTTCACCAAACAACAATCTTCGTTTATGGTCGAACTCGCGGTTGACCGTAGTAGACCGACGTGCTTCAACGAGTTGTAAGGAGCCTGTCGAAACCCAGTGTTTATAATCGGGACTTTTCATGAAGCTGAAAGCGACTTTACTCTCTGTTTTGATGACGTCATGCAATTGCAGTCAATATTCATCCAAACTTTTCGGTGGGCTGATAGCTAGCTTTGAACCTAGCACGATTTGATATTTAATCGCAGCAGAAGCTGCAATCAATTTGTTGACATCGATCCGTTTAAGGCGATAGATTTTTTGACCTCCGAAACGTAAGGTAAGATTAGAGCAAACAAAGGTATGATCAGAGTTCAGATAGGTACTCCAAAAAGATTAGCAACCTGGTACACAACCACATCAGCGGTAGCTGATGGCAATGTGATCAACCTAAGTCCAGTTTTGATATGCAGACGGAGGAATCCATTTAGCACATCGGCGGTAGTTAGTTCTAGCCAGAAACAGGTTGTAGTCTTTAAAAAGTTGCAGTAGATGGTCGCCGTTATTTGACCTGCGACCAAAAAGTCCCCATTGGCTACCCATATAACTCCTCTAGGTCTAGATGTCTGGTCTATGTATCCATGCCTCTGACTAGTACCACAGTATCTATCAAACGCACTTCTTGTGAGAAAACACAACTGGTGGTTGAACTCATCCTTGATCTCATGCTTTCTGTAATCTTTCAGAGCGTAGACGGAGACGACAAAATAAATCGTTTTTTAAACCGATTTCCCACTTTGATGGAGCTTTCTAATCTAACGGCATATAACCAAATGCTAATGGGGATCCAATAGATTAGTGTTATCTCAGATTTATCGCTTAGTGCGACACCAACGCCAGCGAAAACCAGACGAAGATGTTCCCGGATAAACGCACATGAAACAAGCTTTTTGAAGTGACAGATGGAGAGTGAACTTGTAGTACTTTATTAGAGTCTTGAATACGGGTCTCGGACAAATAACACACATCAATGTTAAGGCTTTTTAAAGACAATTAACCCTATCTGTTGTCCGGTCCGTATACGTGTGCGAACGTTGAAGAAAATCTGTTTGAATGCTATGTTTTCAGAAAGGCAGGTTCAGAAATCGTATTCAGTGGTAGCATTCAACTTTCGACCAGTCATTAACTTGAGGTCGTTTAGATAGGACGTGGTCGTCACGATAGGCGAGCTGTTGTAGAAGTTGAAGAAGAATGAAGGAATATGCAAAGCTGGAATAAACGAATAGACAGATGATGCGATTTGAAATAAAAACGAGCATTAACAAGTAGCTTTGAGTATGATTTGGGGGAGATGAAAATTCAATTGTGAATAGTCTTTCTATTCACCATTTAGTTTGTGTGTGGAGTGGGATACTGCACGGATGTCCAAACCGAAGCAGGTGGTCTTCTTAAAGGACCACTCTCTCGGCCTTTGACCTAAAAGTCTAGTCTACAATGCCAGTGATAAACGTTAGATGCAGTTCTATGTTAGCCGTTGACCAACAATAGGTTCATACGCCATTTGTTCCCTCAGGATCCTGGAGCTCATGTACATTATTAGATTAGAATCAGGGTTTTCCAACTCCCCTAGGTGAATCCTCTGTACCCACCAACCTGGTTAAAGCACCGAACATCCGCTTTTCATCACGAAGTTTATAGACTTGAAGGGTTATCGGACATAATTCAGAATATAATCTGGTAGGGGCTTGATTCTATTCTCCTTTTTATAAAAAATATGGTGTAGCATTTACGTTAATAAAATCTAGCTTGTTTTTTTGCTAATATGAATGACATCCTCCAATACTTCTTATTTGTGCTTTTGTCATATAATTTTATTCCTTATATTTCCCCACAATATTACAATTCGGTTTTATGAAACTTATGTCTTGACATCCTATTGTACTAAACATTTTCTTAAGCGCTATTAATAGAGTTTTGTTTCTTCGTGATGGTCCATGATGGATGAGATTTCGCACATAGCTTTGATTTAGTTTGTAATGTTCATCATAAATTATGAATTCTGTAGAAAAATTGACTTTAATTCATGTGTATTACAATTTAAAAACACCACATCTGCTTGTTTGTCGTCTAATGCATAAATCCTCTTCGGTATTTTTCCCCATTTCTCACGTGTCCTTTTTTTTATTCAGGCATTTTACCTGAAAGTGAATTAGAAAATTCAGGTAAGGTTATATTATCCGTTACGGTATTTACATGTTTTCTTTTACTGCTCTGACGGTTTGCTACTTTTTGGCGTAAAATCCTTCATTTACTTCTTATTATTTCTTTTATGCAGTACGTAACAAGACTTTTCTTAAAGTGGCGATTTCTGTGTGTTTGTGTGTGTGCATTGCGCGTTTCAGCACTGTCTAATCGATAACAGCTCCAGTAATTTTGTATGACTCTGTTATGTTACTCATTAATTATTTTTTGACACTTGAATGTAAAACTAGAAGCAACATCATCGGTGCAAATTTTAGTTATACTTGTAGGTAGGTTCATTGTGATAAGTCTTGCGATTTGAACGCTATACTCGGCTCCTAAGCTATTCTCGAAACTCCCAAGCTAGAACTATACAGCGACCTGAACACGAGAGAGAAGGCACAAAGTATGCGAAAAGTACTTTACTCCAAGGTTCATTCTAATACAGAAAACAGAGGGTTTTTATAACATTCTAAATGTCCTTGGGTTGCTCGAAGATTCTGAAATGCTGCTAAACATAGTAGCGGTATAACAATCAGCCAACCAGAACCTCTACATGTGACGTTTCACTTTCTTGATGTTTCTGGCTAAAACTCAAAGTGAACGCTGATTGGATGAAATGCTTCTTAATGTTTCCTGATCCTTGTGTGTCTTTTGCAAGAATTTTTCTGGATCATCCCAACATATTGATACAACTCAAAGTGTATATGTGAGGACAGTTAGTCTTGGGAAATGTAGAACCGTCTGCAAAAAAGTACGTAGTAGTTTAGGTAATGAACCAATATATTTAGAAAAAGAACAGATCAATTCACCATATATATTTCCGGTTTTTCACATTTAAGGAAGTTACCTGCTTGTAATTATTTCAGGTGTTTATGGCTTCTGTTAAAGTATTTTAAAGAAATGTTTGCGAAGTTCGACAACTCTCCGAACCAAATTCATAAATACAACAATCTCCAAGGATTTGTCTACATCTTATTCAGGAGTGTGTTAGCATTTAGCACAATTCGTCTCATTTTTCACATCTTAATGTGCGAGTTAATCCATTTGAAATATTCTCAATAAGAGATAAACATAGAGTAGAAATAAGTTGATCCTATCTCATGGCACAGTATATCTGTCTGACTATCATCTTTCTTCATAAATGATGTACCTGTCCCATCCATAAGTCCCATTTCTTCACATGGAGATGTAAACTACCGATAACTATCTATTCCTGCAAAAAATTATCCACTAACATCGTTTTAATATAACACTACTTGAAATCTACGGCAGCATGATTTTGATATGTGACTGTCGCCCCAAATAAAAACTAACTTCTTCAAACCAAGTTCACATATGTAATAATAATCTTCAAAAACTTGGACCTACAATTCAGCCGAAAATACTGATTATTAAGTTTTTATTCAATTCTTTTTTCCGTCGATATAGTCAATCATTGCCACTTAAGTACTTTATAATTGATACAAGTTGAAAAAATTCGTTGCCCAAGTAATGCTGGAATATACCAGAAAATCTTTTCGGTTCCGCTATTGATTCTTTGCGAAAGTTCTCGTTTAGATTTCCGATGGTTCGAAAAACAAAACCTTGAATTTCGTCTATACTTCAAGATCGATGAATACTGTTGTGTATATCATCTAATCTACTTCGTGAGAAATATATGATTAGACACTAGAGGCCTTACTAGATGTTTGTGAAATTCAATAGACTAGATCTATGTTAATATTTTAAGCTCATTGTGAATCATTGTTCAAGTGTTTAATCGTTAGATGTCTAACTTGTTTAGTGCTTTGTTCAACTTGGATATTAGGTAGCGTCTCTAGTCCTCATAATTATAATTTATCTAAAAAAAATAAATAATCTCAATCTTACTATTGAGTCTTATTAAATTGGAAGTTTCATTGAAACATAGACAATATAATGTTCCTTGGAATATCAATACAATGGCATTGGTAAATTTCACTTGTTAGTCACCAAACAACTTGAGCTATTAATATTTAAATGTTAAGGAATCCTAACTGTCCATTAAATGCAAAATTTCAAAAACTCTGATATTGGACAATACTTGTAACTTCTGAAATAAACTAGATGTGTTAACAAATCCAGAAGTGTTATTGAATGTTGTAAACTCTTTTCTTCTCAATAGATTAGTTCTTCTCTTAGTTGAACTGTTGTGTGCTATATTGTTAATTGATTTTGATATTGAAAAAAAAAGATTTTCTTCTGTGTTTTTTTTGTAATTCATAATACCATCAATTTGTTGCATTTGGTGCATTCTCTTAATGCTCCCAATTGTGTACGAAACATTTTTATTAATAAATAAGTAAATAGATGGTTAACTTATGACGCTCTTAAGTATTTTAAGATGTGTATTCAATAATTTTGTGCATATTTCTTTACACCCAATGTAATAACACTTGTTTTTAAAGATAAATCTACAAATGAACAAAAGACATTCACGTACACTGTGATTAGTCTGTCTAGATGTGTTTAAATATTCAACATAACAAAATAATAATTCAATAATTAATTTTCTCTCTTCCTCCCCCCTTTATATATATATATATATATATATATATATATATATATATATATATATATTCGACCATAGGTGAGACTACAGAGAGCACAGATATGGTGTTGAAAGCACAAGTGTTAGCTGGTGGCCGTGGTAAAGGTATTTGGGATAGCGGATTAAAAGGTGGAGTTAAAATTGTATACAAGTGAGTTGGATTGTTTTTCTTCTGAATTGGTGTGTTTGTTTATTTATCTTCATATTACAGCGCTGTGATATGAACTGACCATTTCTCTGCTTTTACCATTTTGTATCGATGTCGCGAATAATGTGCACCGTATGAAAACTACATGGATGACATTGATGAAATATGTTCAAGCCACTTTAGGCCAGTGTTTCAAGATGGTGAAATGAATTAAATAGCTATCATCGTGTCTATGCACATAATATTGGACCTCTTAGTGGTTCTTCAGAGGAAACGGTGACCAAACAAATAAAGTTAATTATTTTCAGCTCTAAGGAACCAAGTTCCACCAACAAAATGGAACTTTGTGCACTGAATACGGGATCTACTATAACCAGACTAATGAGAGGAAAGTGGTACAGCCAACTATATTTTATTGGCCAAGAAACTCTGTTTTAAAGTCCAAGTTCCTGAGAGAAGGTTGATAATGTACCTTTTGGCTTACAATATTTTTAAACTATAATGAAACAATTGACATTCCTTCCCGATTTTTATTGGTAATTTGATGAGTTTCAGTCTGCAATTGGGATTTATTTCTAGGAAACTATTCACTTGTTTACTTTACTTATCTTTTAACCTGCTATCTGTATATATACGTTTCTAAGTCGGGCAAATAAAATTGTCATTCATAGTTTTTCAAGGACCTGATACTGAACCCTTCATCCTTCAAGTATTGATAAGCTGAATATGATAATCACACATTGTGCAGAAATCTTCATGTACGTAAACTGGGTGAGAATTAATGAACATACTTGGCAGTTCAAGTAGAATGAATAGAAATCATACTAACTGTATAACCAGCATTATAACTGTTGGAAAATTTATTATTCCCCAAAAAATTTGATCTAAATCAGCTGTAAGGAGGTTTTTTCAATAGTCATCTCGTTGAATTTTTAGATCGCTCTGGTAGGATTCCCAAAAATTAAGCCTACCTATAAGGTCTTGAATGACGGCGGAATGAGTGATCTACAGACTGATTTCCCGCAATCGCCTATGATGTTATAACTTGTGACTGCCGATTAGAGAGCAGTGACTTATCTATCGGATCAATGACGCGTAAAACCCGTATGAGCAGTCTAGAGCACTGATTGGTCCTTCTCTCTGTTTAATCCAGCCAGTTAAGTCCAGAACACCAATCTGAGCCTCTGCGATATGAATCATTATATTTGAAACATACTGAGTTTATATACCAATCAAACAGACTACAACGTACTATAAAATAGAAAATAACATTTGTACAAGATTTGGCCAAAAGTGGGTGTGAATGAGGAAGGTAGTGATTAACAGACCGGGAATAATTCAAGAATGGAAAATCATAATAACAGTTAATAGGTTTAAATAAAGCTTATGATAAGAGAGACATAAATATGAATAGTTTAGTTAATTAACAATTATACGATAAAATATACGTATAGTATTGATCCACAAACGGATCCCAAAAATTACTTACGCCTGTTACTCCTAATGGAACATAGGCCGCCGACCAGCATTCTCCAACCCACTCATTCCTTGGCCTTCTTTTCTAGTTCCGTCCGATTCTTGTTCATTTTTCTCATGTCTAGCTCCATTCCCCGGCGTAATGTTTTCTTTGGTCTTCCTCTCCTCCTTCGGCCTTGAGGATTCCATGTAAGAGCTTGTCTTGTGACGCAGTTCGGTGTTTTCCTCAACGTGTCCTATCCACTTCCAGCTCTTCTTTTTGATTTCTTCCTCCACTGGGATCTGATTTGCTCTCTTCCACAGTAGGTTGTTGCTAATAGTGTCCGGCCAACGGATCCGAAGTATTTTTTCTTTTATATATTACCACCATTGAATCAACTACTTCTATGAATTCAGTGTTCATCTTGTTGTGCTAATGAGATGTGGCAACTTGGATCAATGCATATATGTGTCTGGTCCTACTTAGTAACTGACTGACTGGAGAAAAGTTTGATATCTTTGCTCTATATATTTCAAGTAATTTGGTCATACATAAATCTAACATGGGATTTATGGAAACTAATAAAGGTTAATTCAACCAAAGGCCTAGTTAACATGAAGTGATAAAGGGAAGAGAAAATTTATATAAAATGGAAAAAATAGTTTTTCGCATCACTTTGCGGTGTAAAATGAATTAAAGGATTACCAGGGTAAAATCAAAGTTAGACTAAATTGCTTTTGTGCATATAAAGGAGTTCTAGGTTTTATAGTAGCTAAAGTTTCTATAAATATAAGAATTTATGTATAGAGTTTTAGATGCTGTCTTTAGAACAGTGCTATTATCTTTCCTTTAGTTCTTATCAACCCTTTGATAATCGATACGGATTTCACAGGTTCCAGCCCCATTCCATCTACTTAAAACTGAACAGTTAGATACTATCCCTAACCTTGATAAAACAAATGCGTCCTGAAGCTAATTTCCTGCTTATATATGTTTGTCATATCTGTGATGGGAATTAGTTAGCTTAATCGTGTTCATTATCGAAATATTAACCTAATTTTTGCTGTGCAATTCGAAAATATCAAAAAAATAGTGCCAAAAAACCTTGTAAAACCAAATGTGACCACCTTGAGTGAACGCAAAGTAATTAATTATCAAAATAACCCATAGTATCATGAATAAGAAAAAGAGAATTCAACGAAGAAAATTTTCTTTTCGACGAAATCATTTACTTAAGCTGTACATACGTATTTATAGTTAAATTATTGTCTGGCATTTTAAGCTCTAATCTATTATTATTATTATTATTATTATTATTATTATTATTATTATTATTATTATCACCTTATACAAGTTTTCTTGATTATTATTCAGTCTATTATTATGACCTTTGTGTTTGTCGCTTTTCTTCATATCTGTCAATTGGACTATTATCTGACCCATAAACGATTTTCTTCCTTACCCCTTGATTAGTGCGTAACCTCATTTGTTATTTATTCTCGAATCCTATAAACATATATTTTCCATATAAAACTATATATATATACGAATGTACAGCTTAAGTAAATGATTTCGTCGAAAAGAAAATTTTCTTCGTTGAATTCTCTTTTTCTTATTAAATTAATTATCAACGATTTACCCCAAAGATTCATGCTCCAACCACTGACTATTCAGAAAACAAAAGCAGTTTGTGAAGAATATATATCTCTGATGAGAAAAATAACATTGTTTATGTACAGAATTTCTTCTCAATGACTAAGAATTATGTTTTAATAAATATCAAAATTGAATGAAATAATACAATAGAATCTTATATATAACTAATTTACAAATGAGTTGGTCAAAATTCCATAGGACGTCAATATAAACAATTATTATATTGAATTAATTGTTAGTTTTTACTTTTAATCTTCTCTTACCATGAAATGAACTTAATTATTCAGTTATATTGTTGCATGTAATAGGTAGTGAAGTTTCAATTTCAACTTGTTTATTTTCTTTTCAATTTCAGTGTAGAAGAAGCCATAAATGTAGCTAATCACATGCTTGGTCATCGAATCTACACTGCACAAACTGGTGACACCGGCCAATTATGCAATACATTACTAGCATGTGAACGTAAATATTCTCGACGTGAACATTATCTAGCTATTGTCCTAGATCGTTCTAGTGGTGGACCAGTAATGATTGGTTGTCAACAGGGTGGTGTAAATATTGAAGATATAGCACGTGATAATCCAGATGCTTTAATTAAAGTAAATCAGTAGACGTTTTTATGGTTTGTACTTTGATTATGTAAATGTTGAATGTGAATAGTAAATAATTCAAATTCTTACTAGTAACGATATAAGTTTCGTAATTGTTGAACAATTTAGCGGCTATCTGTATTCAAAGGCTCAGTGGGTAACGAGTTGGGCATTTGAAGTGAAAGGCACCTTGGATTGAGTTCAAATGTAGATACCAACACTGGGATTTGCCAGGTACATCCGATTGAAAAGTCACAAGTAGGATTAAGCACTCATCTCGGATTCTGCTACTAGTCATAATATATCCCTTCCGTAATTACTATTGGCAAACATATAGACCTAACGACTGGTTGATTTCAACTATAACTATTAATTTTATAGATAAATAACAAATTGTGGTTGGCACCAAGGATTAGATAAATATGACATTAGTGTTACTACTTAGTAGGCGGTGAGTATAAAAATCTCAATCTTACAAGAGGTCATTCATGACTTGGATCACCCAGTTGTGGTGATGTTTCTGACTGTGATACTGAGTAGCGTGGGTAGCATCATTTGTCTGTTTCATGGTCTAAATAGTGACATAGGTTTCTGGGGAGAAATTGGAAACCTTTAAATACAATTGTGGATCTTCGACATCTGAGATATTTGGGACGCGTTACGTATCCCTAACCACCGCCCATCCTATCATGCAATTTTAGGTTGAATATAAGTAAGTTGGTAAGAAGCTAAAGGCGGACAAATTAAAATGTGGTATCAGCTCATGAAGTCATTCAATATTGGTGTAACCCATGTTTCTAGATCCGAACTTCCTGGTTGCAGTAGTTATGATAACAATGATCAGTGGTTGATGTTAGGTGACATGGGTCAAAATCGATTACATTGGCTCAGGTTCATTTACTCTTCGTTTTCCTATGGATGTCGAGTTGCAGTATTTCTTCATACATACCTTTCGATTTCGTCCTGTCTTACCCTATTCTCAAGGTTTAGTCTTTCTTATTGGCACTGGTAACACAATCCAACTCCTTTTTCATTCATCTTATTAATTTAATCTCATCGTGGTTATATAATATGACAATTTGTGCTAACCTACAGTTATTGGACACTGTATCTGTTGATTTTGACTAATTAAAAACTGCTTGTTGATCGCTCCCAACCACTTAACATCAAAATGTTACAAGTAATTCAATTTGCGTAGAATTTCAAAATGATATTATTTCTAACTAAGTTTACGTAACCATGATTTTACTAGATACCTAATTGAAAATAATCTAGTTTAATATAATTTTCGTCTCAAACTGTAACTCAATAACACTATACAATGGCTTAGTGGTTAATTCATTCGACCTTCAGTCATTCGATCCTAGGCTAGAACATCCCCTTTACCTATTTCGGTGTGACCGATCGGGTGGTATCATTAGCTCTTACACCTAGAATGTAGCTCATATCTAAGTACTTGATAAATGACTTCGTTTATTATCTATTAATATTATGCATGTTTCATGAATTTCAACATGAACTCAATTCAGTCGAAAGTCATAGGCGTGTGTACACTGATAAGTAGTGGTAGCAGTAGTAGTAATAGTAGTCCCAAAATATTAGATAATACAGTTATCCAGTGTTTCATGGTTTTTCTTCTTGTACCAATGTAAACTAATCGAGCGTATTAGTCATCGCGTTTCTCATGGGAGTTCCGTCATTCTTCGTAAGGTTGATAGCTAGAAAAATATCGCTACTGATCCAAATGTCTCCCTTGATGCTACTTGTAATGGAGGCGAAATGTCTGTCCGTTAACCAAGGATCGAACGTAACAATCAAATATGTATCATCGTGTGACTATAAAATATAGTCTATGAAAGTATTAAAAATGCATTGACTGCATAAATTAAATCTTAGATATATCTTTAAAGCACTGCTCATATATTGAAAAACTTCCGAGTGAGTGCATTATATGAAATCGTTATCGGACAATATTGTAAAATAGTCACAAACTCATTGCCATTAAACAGAACTGTCCAATGCACCATCGTTTCCAATAGTTCTGTGACTTTTTATTCTTAACATTTTAACCAACATTCAACTACTATTCTTTTAAAAAATTTTATTGTACACCTTTAGATTCCAGTTGATATCAACAAAGGTTTAGATAAAAAAGATGCCCTATTTATGGCGCATAAATTAGGTTTTACACATCCAGATGAAGCAGCTGTATACATTGAACGACTTTATAAACTCTTTGATTCATCCGATTGTACACTGTTAGAAATTAATCCAATTTCTCAAGATATAAATGGAAAAGGTATGTGTTGTTAAGACTTTTTTTCTTGATTTGAATATTGTTTTGTCAGTTTCCTCCCTCCTCTCTATCTCCTCGTGCCATGTTTTATGGAGTTTTCACTGGTCTGTTATTTTATTGAAATTATGAGGCGATTTACGTTCAACAACTGTTGGGAAGCTGAAATCACTGGATTGCCATTGTGTCCTAATATGGGACTCCCAACAGTGTATGTTCACAAACCTGCAATCTTGAATCGAAACTCCGGTCTCGATCATGAACTATTAACCTCTAGACCACTGGGCCGGGATCCAGTGGTTTACAAGTCTAACTTCAATCAGTCATCATGATGACTTTGTGTGAATCCTTAACGAATGTGTATACGTTCAACTTAGAAAACGGTTAGTTAGTTCGCTGAGAAATAATTATTAGAATCGTGTTTACCATATAGAAAAAGGTGATCATATTTGGTTAGTGAATGTTCCGATTTTTGACCAATCTCTTGGTATTTGAACTTGGATATAGACCATGCTATTGACGGTTCTCGAATCTTAAGTTGAACATCAATATCAAAGCCAATCAGCTGATGAGCATCAAATAGGATAAGACACCTTTCTTACATTTCTCTCCCATCCACTATTCAAAATATATTCTGTGCTTTCAGCTAATCTCACGTCTTCGAATGTTAAGAGGAGAATATGAGAAATCAACGTTTAAATGCAAATTTCTTGTCGTATTAACAGATGAATACACTTAAAACTGAATTTAAAGTGTATGTACGTGAAAAAGACGACGGTTATACCAATAATTCTTCTTTTCTCGCATCTGTATTTTTTTCTTTTGTTTCTATGTTTGAACTAGTTGTTTGTATGGATTGTAAAATGAATTTCGATGATAATGCCGCATTTCGACAGAAAGAGATTTTTGCACAACGTGATTGGTCACAAGAAGATGAACGTGATGTGAAAGCATCAAAGGCTGGATTAAATTATATTGGTTTAGATGGAAATATTGGTTGTTTAGGTAAGCTGTGATAATCATGATAGATATTTGTTTTACCTACATTTCACTTATCGGAGTGTTGTTATGTATAATCGTAGCTATTGTCATAATGTAATGTTCGGCTTTGCATATCATGATGACTTGATTAAGCTATATTAGGTGAGATATTCCTTCCTTTAGATCCTACCATATCAGATAAGTCGGTTAGAGAACAGTAGGACTAAAAGCAAAATACTTATGGTTCGAGAGCAATGTCATACACCTAACTGTACTGTGATGCGAGACGGCGGCAAAGTGTTTCCCTTGGACAGCCAGCATCTGTAGCAATTCCACAGGAGGGGATAAGAAAAGGCTAGGTATTAAAAATCACACTTCAACTTGCCCTATGGATTCTTTTCGCTAACAATAAGGCCTTAAAAGTACGAAGCCAACGCATTTAAAACTATTCGAAAAAAGTTCATATTTGGCCGACCTCAAGCAGTTATTTATTGGGCTTTATAACCATTTTTCTAAATCGTCAAGATCACCCCTAACCCAGTTTTATTTTCAGGTACCCCAAGAAGAAATATCTTTCCATGGTATATGTGACCAACTGGGAAGTGATACCCACCACCTTCATAGTATTGTTAAGTTATAAAGTCTATACAAAATTGTTATTATTAAAATCGATAGGTAACTTGACCTTTTAATGCTTCAATTACTTTTACAGAATAAATAATTGTAATTAAGATAAAAATATTAGGAAATAATTACAATTACACATACACTGAACAATAATAAATGATAATAATACAACCAAATGAGTAGATTGCAGATGTCAGCTATACAAATGAAAATCTAGTTAATTACCATCGTTCATGGATTAATAGGAAAATAAAAAGGCAGACTCATATCAAAGTTAGACCAAGTAAATATTCAAAGTGCAATTTTGATTGGCTAAATTTTCAATTATTGGGCACAATTAACAAGCTCATGTCAACATTGTTTAGAACTGTGTAAATCAGTCGATTATTATTATTATTATTATTATTATTATTATTATGACTGTTGAAACATATTCAGTCAATCATAATCAATGTGGAATGCGTGGAACAAATATGGATTAGACCAAGTCTCCATATCATATTAACTTAACAAGATGAATAGAAAGAAATTTGAAATAATTGATGATGAAGTAAACTAAACATTCTAAACATATTTATCAGTATTTAAAAAATAGTCTGATTATCCCGCTGTCTATATTCCTGACTAAATTTTTCTCACAAGTGAATGGTTATGCGAACTTAGTAGTTCAGTGAATAGCGCAATGAGCGTTTGAAATAAGAGATGTCCTGGATTCGAGTTTCAGTATAAAGTATTGTAGATCAGCGTAGATAATCTGTGACGAATGATTGGAGGTCTACTCGAATTATACGGGAATGGTGTGACGAACCAGCTAACTTTGAAGTCACACCTCATGGTCAGCATCTAACGTGGATTACCCCTTCGATGTATCAAAATACTATGGCTGCTTTGAATACCGTATAACACAAAGGACGTTATCATGAAAATGTATTAGTAAGAATGAGTACAGAGAAGATAGCGAGACCACCGCATGCGCCAGTCCATGACATACGATTAACTGATGCGCGTTGGTTGTTCTTGACCTTGACAATAATTGATTATCTGTCCGATATTCAGTGACCCAATTGCCGGATGATTTAACAAGTCTCAGTGATGTTTCACTGGCTCTACAGTATCAACTCTGGGATGTCACAGGCACATCTAACCGACGAGTTTCAGGTAGGACGAAATGCTAATCTTAAATTTAGCTACTGATCACAATCCATCTATTCTATAAAAAATTGAGACTATAGTTCTGAAGAATGCCTGATGAGAAGATAATCGGTCGATCATCATCAACATAGAGCCTGACACAAATACGCGTTGAAAATACTGAATAGTGAGTCCGTGAAACAGCGATTTATTGGTTAAGGCATTTGACTTTTGGCTACTAAGTTTAAATTGCGAACTTTGTCCTACTTACTTCGGTTTTGGGAACTGAGTAGTATATATATATATATATATATATATATATATATATATATATATATTGGACGCTTTCTTCTACATACTACGAATGACAGTAGAAACCTCAGTAAACTTTATTATGGCACTATAAATTAAATCAAATGTGTTGAGTTTCAAGGGATGAAGAAGGATAACTTTGATCCAATAACAAATGAATGTCTATTTTAATATCACGTTGTCAGCTCAAAACATTGATACAACATAAAAAACTGTTCGCCAAATGAATTAAAATACACCACGATCCATAAGTATAGATTTTTTTGTTTTGTTGTATGTGTCCTTCGATTTTTTTAAATTTTTTACCAAGGTCGTCGTCACGTGTCTAAATTCTTCTTTTTCTTAATGAAACAAATCGATATCACCCTAAAGTTGACCTATTTTTCTTCTGAATTCTGACAAATCGTTAGTTTTTGTTATTTGACATCATTGATGAACTTTAATTGTATATAGCTATTTGGGAACTAGATAACCTTGGTCAGCTAACTGTTCCATCTTATTATAACACTCCTCAATAATGCACCTCGACGACTCCACTCGGTGTTGAACTCAGGTTGTTCGGTCCTCGCGGTTGGCTCTTTTCTTTTGGATCACTAAACTGGTAACATCCAATGATTTATATTTCTAAATCGAGTCAATTCACAATATTACTCATCCATTATCTAATGCTGTTTGTTAGCACACGCTCGCACACCCGACAGTGTTGAACTCCTCTAGTCACTGAATTACTTTTTGAAAGTAGTCACTAGTGCGAGTATATAATCGTTGTCAGTGAACAGGGGGTTATGTGGAGACTATACAAATTGGTGGCTTACATCATGTACTGACCTTGGACACCCATAGAAAACAAGATGATAACACTAGACAGTCAGGTGCTGCGTCTCAGTATATTGTATTTCTTTGTAGTGCGCATTGACGAATCTACCAGTTATTGAGACCCGAAACTTCAAGCAATTTTATTATTTCCTTTTTAATTTGATATATTTATCGTGATTGTACCACTATTTTGATTATATTTTCATTTTGATACTCTAATAAATCTTTTCAGTTAACGGAGCTGGTTTAGCTATGGCTACTATGGACTTAATTCAATTGCATGGTGGTAATCCAGCAAATTTTCTTGATATCGGCGGTGGAGCGACAGCTGCTCAAGTGACTGAAGCTTTTCGTTTAATTGTATCTGATTCGAAGGTCAATGCTATACTAGTAAATATTTTCGGTGGTATTATGCGTTGTGATGTGATTGCACAAGGTATTGTAACTGCTGCTACAGAATTAAATATAAAAGTACCAATTGTTGTACGACTGCAAGGTTGGTGATTTATTATTATTGTTATTATTATTATTATTATTATTATTATTATTATTATTATTATTATTATTATTATTATTGATATATCATATATTCTGAAGGTAAGGCGATTTCGCGCAAATTTTTCAAGTTTATTTTTCATCATAAACTCACCAGTTAGTTGGTGAACCAGAGGTTTCTGGGTTCGCGTCCCGCGTGCGGAGTCATGAATGCGCACTGCTGAGGAGTCACATACTGTGATGAAACGGCCGTCCAGTGCTTCCAGGTTTTCAGTAGTAGTCTAACATTGATCGGTTCACGATCTCAATATTTATCATTTTGGTGCATTGTAATATAGAGTTGCAGTGGTTTGTTCTGATTAAAACACTCATCTCTCAACCCATTTCGTTGGTTCTATGTGCGAAATTCTTTCCGTCTACTATTTTTATTTGATTAACTGGATAGTACTCAGTCAGCCATAAGCAACGCAGAACTTGAGAGATACGTATATCAGTTCAAGTTGTAACACCATAATGGTACAGTAAGATTTCCAGATTTGTGGGAGTAGTGATAATTAAAAGAAAGGCATACGCAATATAATCCAAGATGAAAAAAATAAATTCTAGGAATAATAAAGTGCATGATTATTTTCTAAAATCTCAAGATCTTAGTAAAGACAAAGAGTGAATGCATCATTGCCCTTACGACTGATTTCAAGTGGTATCTCTCAAAGTTTCCACCAACCATTGGATAGTATCAATTGTTATAGAAGTAAAAATAAATATGGTCCTTCATACTCCAAATACACAGAAATATATACTTGGTTACTAAGGTCTATTTGATTTGTAATTAGTTCTGAGTTTGTTTTATCTACATTTAGGTACATTTATTAATCTTCATCTAATTCCACCATGTATTACTTATGTACTCTACATATTTTTTATGCATTAATTCTACACAATACCGTATACAAATGTTGTTATCCTTAACAAGAAATATAATCTTTTATAATTTCAAGACAGTTTAATAAAACATAGTCATAGTATAATGAATGACTGATAGTGGAAAAGATTTGCAGCTCAGGTGGATGATTATATTGGAGTTTTGTTCTCTGAGCTGGATGATTTGGTCGTGAAGCTTTCATAGTTCTTGTGAACAGCATCATCAGCTCAAACATTTTTCATCATGGATAAATATAGGACCAAGAATCAGATCAAAGGGAAATACAATCAATAATAAAAAAGTAATTAATGACAGGTTAAAGTTCAACAATAAACAATCACGATCGAGGTCTACAGGACAAGCTTAGAGTGATATGTGGAGAAATTCGAACATTTCACTTCTACTTGGAATTTGTGCTGATGATGCTATTCAGAAAAACAATGAAAGTTCCGCGATCAAACCATCCAGCTCAGAGAATTAAACTCTATCTAAATGAATCATGAAACTAATAATATCTTGATATTGTTTTACTAGGCAACTTTTCGCTTCATTTTATAAAAATGTTTTTTTTGTATGATTAATTTAAAAACGGTTTGTGAAGATTGTCAAATTTCTATAGTTTACAACACGGACTCATTGTAATCCGACAACCGTGAAAAATCATGAAACACTAAACAGCTGTTTCATCCTAGTTCAGGACTCTTCATTTATAACGCTCATCCACCACGGATCGAATGAAAGACTTTCAAGTCTCAAAGTAATCGTTTAACGTTTAGATTAATTAACTAGTATCCAATAGTGTTTCTGTATCTATGTTCAATCAATCCACAATATTTTACAACCATTTTTCAATGGTCATTGATATTGGATAATTGGCTTATCATCCAATACAATTGAACTTCATCAGTTATAGTTTCTTACTAGAACTCAAAGAATAATCAATTTTTGAAATCAATCACTAGTGAGCACATGATTTCTATGTACGTATGTATTATGCTAATCATCTTGAGTTATTTTTTTTACCAAGTGGAAGTAATTATTTTGCAAAAAATATCCCTTAATACATTTTAATTAGTACTATTTATATTATTATTGTTTTCTTTTCATTTTCACAATAAATTTTCCTACAAAACTAACAAACAAACAAACAAAAACCAATCATTATTAATAACATCAATAAATAAATAAAAATACTAAGGAACTAGAGTTGAAGACGCTAAAGCAATTCTTGCTACAAGTCATATGAAAATTCTAGGTTGTAGTGATTTAGATGAAGCTGCTCAAATGGTATGTTTCATTTCAGAATTTCGTTGTGTTTTCCTTATTATTATTATTATTATTATTATTATTATTATTATTATTATTATTCATACATATCTGGTATTTCTATTGCTAAATAAAAGTATAATGTTTGAGATGAACTGGTTGGTTAGTTTGTTCTCTTAAAAAATCTTCACATAGAATGGAAACTTCATTTCAGTCAAAATAAGTAAAAAGTGTATGATTATGCAAAAGTGTATTACTAGATTTGTAAATCTTAGTTTCATAGAAATATCTCTCTACGTAACCTCATTAATCTGTGTGTGTGGATAAATTCGAACCCCCCACACATACATACACTAAGTGTTTCTTTCTAAATCTTTCTCATAAGTCATCAATAGTTTTAATTTGAAAATTTATCATCTCATTTTCCAAATCCTTTGTTCTTACATTCGCTGAACAACGATAAGCGAAGAACTAGAATGGAGAAGATTTGCAGCTCAGGTGGATGATCTTAGTGGGGGTTTGTTCTCTGAACTGGATGATATGTTCGTAGAGCTTTAATCTTTCTTGTGTAAGACATCATCAGTACAAACTCTAAGTAGAAGTGATGTGTTCAAATGATACAATCAGAATAACGAAGTAAACAATGACAGGTTTATGGTCAACAATAACCAATCAAGATCGAGATCTATAGGACAAGCTGCGAGTCATATGCAGAGAAATTCGAACACTTCACTTCTACTTGAGGTTTGAGCTGATGATGTCGTTCAGAGGAACGATGAAAGCTACACAACCAAACCATCCAGCTTAGAGAACAAAGCTCCACCAAGAAGAACTAGTGTTATTACACAAGTATTGATAAGATGAAGTTATACGTAGGAATCATTCTCGATTATTCAATGTGTCACTAGTGAAAAACAATCTCTTCAATTTACCGAAAAAAAACAAATTGAATTAAAATCAACACCGATTGATTCACATGTTAAATTAAATTCAAATAGAAAAGAAAGTAAACAGTTGGCATGTTTAACATTGTCACTTTTTTGTTTTATTCTATAATATAACAAAAAGAATTCTTCCTAACAATTTTAGGTATCCTAAGTTTTATCTAAAAAGGTATATTTTGATCAGGAACTTTAATTTTGACGGATAAAACTAGTAGTAGTAAAGTATGTGGATGAATTTGAAATGAGCGCCCGTTTAAGCCAATCAGAAAACGGCTTTTACAAAGAAATAACTTTTGCAGAGAAGAAAAACACAATAATATCGCAAGATGTAACCAGACTTCACATAAATAAATATTATATTTGTAATATTCCAATGAGTAGAAAAATTAGGTTTTATAATCTACCCAATGCTCAATTTATTCGAAATTATCAAATTAAACCTTGGTAATGATACCTACAGACTTCACATAATTCATGAATGGATTAAGAGTATATAAAGGTTTTTCCGTCTGTAACCCGAGAAAACGACTTCATCTAAATTGGTCCAAATGCATATGGAACATCCGTCTTCGCGAACTGTTATAAGGAGTCAAAAAGATTTTCACGAATTTCCAGATCATTTCGGATTACAGTTAAGATTAAGTGTTTAGGGTCAAAATATCGGAACAGTTTATTTACATCCTATATGCATTCTACATGGGAAAGACTGAGCACTTGATATGTTTAACATTATTATTTCTACCTTATGGTGGAAATACTTAAGTTTTCGTTATCACTTTTAACGTTCTGAACTCTACATAAAGGTAGTTCTACTACTAGTCCTACGTCATATAAAGTGGAAGTCATTCACTTTTGAATTTCTCATAAATACTTAAGTCTTTTCCTCAATTCAGATTTGATTGTTTATTACATCTAATAACTAAAACAGGTGACCAATCAATTTTCACTTTTCAGATGCCCATCACTTTGATTCAGGTCTAGTCTCGAGATGACTTATCTTTACTTCAGTGCCAAATCGATAAATAATGTATAATCTTTTTTTATTTACATAGACATCAATTCCAATTTGTTTATGTTATCCCATCTCTCATTTGTTCGCCTATATTTGACAGTTAATGTTTACACCTAATATCGAGCACTGAATTGGAAGTTTGCTTATGTCTTTGTAGAATAATGTCATTTTGTTTACCAAGTACATTAGCTTATGTAGACGGGACTTTGTGTCATAATCTAGTTATTTTAAGAGTTAATGATACACTACATCTCGACCACTGAAAACGATTAAGTACATCAGGAAGAGATTTAAACCTGTGATCTTGTTGACTAAAAGTCAAGAATAACCCAAACTACCAAGCCACTTTTTTACATTCATAGGACGATTCACTGATAGTCCAACTTCAACTATCCAATTAAATTAGCACTACGTACTCCATCGTTTCAGAGAACCATCATCATTATTACACTGTCATGCATAAAATCTGTAAATGTTATCAATTTAGTTATTTAGAATTCACATTACCATCATCACATTGTTTACCCTCATGTTATTTTTCGGAGAAATAAACTATTATTGTGTTATGTAACTTCGCTTATTGCCTTTCTTTTTTATTTTTGTAATTTCTCAGTCTGTTAAACTCGCTAATATTGTTCATTTGGCTCGTGAAGCTGCTATAAATGTGAAATTCGAACTGCCTTATTAATTAATAATGTGATTATAGTAATATTATTATAATAAGCAAAAAAGTATGGTTCGAAGGAATGGGTGCATCACGTTATGTTGAATTGTGATGAATCCAGTAGCTCGGTTTATATTATTATTATTATTATTATTACTATTATTATTATTATTATAACTTACTTTCGAAAGACAATAGTCATTGTGTGGTCCATTCAATTATGTTTTGTCATATCCGCTGAAGCATATTCTTTGGTACGAATGAATGTACATTGATGATAATAGGATTATTGTTTCATACGACAGATTTAAATATCTACTGCATTATGTAATACATAGATTTTGTTGCGTAAGAATTTTCCATACTTTGATAGGAAATCCTTAGCTAAGCAATCATTTATTTCATTACGTGTTATTGTATTTTGGTCGCAGTCAGCTGAACAACACCACCCACATCACCCCTCCACACACACAGTTTATTTTACATTGAAAACAAAGAGTATACAAAAATTCATTTTCAAAGTATAAAAATGTTAGTTTACCTACTATACAACTATTTTGCCAGAAGAAAAAGATGAATTCAAATCTTTATTTCACTGAAAATATCGTTTATCTTTATTGTTTTTCTTATCTTTCATCGTTATTCACTGTTAGTTACATATACTACTATTTGTTGTCCTGTGATAGTAGTAATAAATGGTATTGCTCGGATATAATTTGTGTTTGAATTTCTTTTCATTGCTTTGTATTCGTTTATACACCTATAATCAAGCGTGTATATGTATCTGCGTACAGAAGGAAGTGCTTACTTCAGTTTTCTTTTTCCTCTTACTCTTTCATTGACACACCGTCCAGATTCATCCCTACAGGGACACTGTCATCCATATTTCAACAGTTGACTTTTCGAAGGTTTTGATAAATTTTTAAGAGAAACCATGTAACATCTTTAAGAATATTAACTACATTAAGATATTAGCAGGGATATGAGGATCAAATATATTTTTCAGAAGCTCAACGTCACATTTGGTTAAATAATCGCCTACATCTGTGCATGAACCAACCTTGGAAGTAAAGCTTCGTCTACCACTTCCTTTTGCTTTTTTGTTCAGCATTCGAGAATACAAAGTATCTGGGGGCTAGAAAGCAGTTTGGAAGTCGGTGTCTAAGCGTCCAGTTACTTGACGTATCACTTAATTATCAAATTAAGTTATCGATCGCACATTCGCATACAAATACTACAATGTTATCTACAATCATACCCAACTTAGGACCTAGCGCATCGGCTCAAGTTCCCTCACCACATCAGCACATCGAGATGTCCGAGTAAAAGAAGTAGTACCAGTATTAGTGTTATTAGCAAAAATTAGGTACCAATAATATTATTCTAGAAGAAAATATGAATTCGTGGAATAGAAAGAGTATCAGGTGAAACGTTGAGGTTCGTGGATGCTTCTGTGCCACTATGACTGGTTCTGAGCCTTTTCACCCAATATTTGTAACCATTGATTTTGTGATATTCGTGCGGACCCTAACTAGGTAGTATCCATTCACTATTGACACGGTTCAAATGAACGCTAATTGATTTCATAAACTAATATCACGTCTTAGTATATATATATATATATATATATATATATATATATATATATATATATATATATATATATTGCTAACAAAGACTGATTGAGGTTCATTCGCTAACATCAACAACGAGATAAATTACACCCTTACTATCAGTAATATTTTTGAAAAAAAAAAACGATTCCTGAAGTTATTTCATGAATAGTAATCATTAGCAGACACAATAACATCGACATAAAATCAACCAAGTAAAGAAAAACAGAAGTTGACAGGTAAAACAAACAGGCAGATGGAATATATAAAAATCCTGGGAAAAAAAAAGAACAAAGCACACTTAGGTAAAAGCTTAAATGTAAAGCCGAACCAATTACGACTGAAAAAGCAACTTAAGGGTTATGGTGTTTAGGACCAGGATAGTGACCGTGGATTTTACAATGAGTAATTTACGTGGAGATACCGTTAAGTATTTATTGGACGTCGGATTACTGGATAATATACTCACTTGTAAATTCTGTGGATGCACAGAAACACGAGATGGGATGATATTTCGCTGCAACATTTGTTAGGGTTAGGATTACAGTTAGTTGTACGCGGTATAGCAAAAATTCAAGTTCTAGATATAGCAGGTTTCGATAAGGATTAGAGGTGAGTTTAAGATAAGACTATAGGTTTAAGAGTGTGATTTCAATCCTGGACCATATCACCCAAAGTCCCTAAACATTAGTTATGATAATCATGCGGACCCCAATCAGGTAGTCTGCATCCATCGACACAGTCTCAACCTAACAACTAATGATTTTAAGAACTGATGTTGGAATCTGGTTTCCCCATCCTTACATTTCTTCCAACTTTCTCTTACACCACAGCGCGTTAAGGTAGGTAGTAGTTAGGCATACGCAATACATATCCCAAACACAGTCTGTGAAAATTCATTACAGAACGGTGAATACAGTAAAGTACTCTGTTTGTAAATATTCGCACTTGAGTTCGTATTCTCGAACAACAGCAGTCCTAACACTACTGGTAAACACGGATATGGAAAGTTTATATATCATTGTGGAAGGTAAAGAACTATTCTTTTGACTATAACTGAAGATATTCACTTAAAAATGACTTCCTATAATAGTTTAACAACTTTTACCAACACTGAAACTCTGACAGAATGAATAGGATGTGTGGGACAGGCTAAATGTCAGAAGGGCATAAGTTAGTTGCAATACTAGTATTAGGCGGGATTTAGTGAATAAATAAATTACACATTTAGCCAGGGTCATCACTCGCATACTCATCGTAGCTTTTAAGTATATATGAGTTATAAACACTTGTATTCGTCTTTTAGTAATATGGCTTCACAAACAGTCGAAATTTATTCTCTTCAGAGGTCAGGTGTTAGGAAAGCGATAGTAGCCGAATCTAGTAGTTCGACATAACACAATGCTTTTCAGTGGTCAAGTGATACTTAGTAAATAAAACTATGCATACGTCGAACAAAAAAACCTCCGATACTATGAATAAGAATACTAATTTGGCTTATCCTCTTAGTGTTTTTAACTTTCTACAATAATAATCTACTCTTAAACACCAGACAAAGTCAACATGTTTATTAAGAGTAGAAGAACAAACCTTCTGTTGTCATTTGACATTTCCTCAACTCTGTGATATGATGTACATTAAGTGAATACGCGTACCAACTGTCAATTTGTAATACCCAATGGAATTGGCTTGTTATCATTGTTTCACAATAAAAATGATTACAGTGATCCATCATATGATTTATCAGTAAACGTTTACTGTTTTATCTCGTATAAGAATGGCCTTTGACTCAAAGTTAAAACCAAGTAAAGTTAATAAACTATCCTTAGATTATGACTATTAACGGTCAATGTTTTAAATGTGGTCAAAATTCTGCAACTATTAATTTGTTAAAAGTGCAAATTTTATTGATTTACAAAGCAATCACATGGTATCATTTCTACCCGACTAGACAAGCGTATAACATACTTAGACAATTTAGCATCATGAGAAAAAGTACAACCTGTGTATTTTCAATATCCAGGACATGTTTCGTCCTAGTCAGTTGAGTGTATATAAAACATAGAGTTGACATTATCTATATATACCACAAATTATTAGAATAAAGAACTAATCAGAAATATGTCACCAACGATCAATATTTTCATCTTTCAACCAACCAGAACACAGTTTGAAGGGTCACTATTAGAACGAGATATAATGTGAGATTTAATTTGATGATATTTATTTAGTAAATTATTTTATTTCTAATTCAATGTGATTGTGGGGCCAATAAAATGTCACTGAGCCCTAGCCAAATCATCCGGCAGTTGGGTCACTGAATATCGGACAGATCATCGATCCCTGTCATTGTCAAGGACAACCAATGTGCATCAGCTAATCGTACACCATGAACTGGCACATGCAGTGGTGGTTACGCTTTTGCTTGAGCCTACTTTAACTAATATATTTCTGCACTACAATTCAGGTAGTCTTCTACCTGAAATTCGTGCTGATGATGTCGTTCAGAAGGACAATGAAAGCTCCACGACCAAACAATGCATCTTAGAGAACAATACTCCATCAAAATCATCCACCTGAGCTACAAATCTACACCATCTCACTATTATTTCTCTTACCCTATCTGACCTATATTTATTCTGATCATGGATCTTACATTTTCACTTAGCATATATGCAGATTCAAGTTAACATTCGATAACAATTCAGATGGTGCATAGATCACACTTTTCGAACAATTTGGAGAAGATATTCATGTGATTCTGAAAAACACTAACAGTCAGCATAACAAACAAACAAACAGAGAAATATATAAACAACAAGAATAAAAAGTAATTTCAAAACATAAACACCTTTTTAATTAAAATTTTTTAAAAATCCTAAAATACATGATGATAAATAATGACAAAAACAACATTAAAACACTACACAATTGTTTTCGATAACTTCTTCATCACGCTCTACAGTTATGAATTTAAAATTATCCTTTTCATCTTACTTACTGACGCTTGTTAACCCTCATGGAGGAGCATAGGCCACCCACCATTTTTCATCGAATTCTGTCCTGGACAATCCTTTTCAGTTGTTCCAATTATTACTATTCTTTTAATGTCTACCTCTAATTCCTGTCGCAGTATGTTCTTTGGTTTTCCTCTTTTACCTTCACATTTAAGATTCCAAGTTAGTGCTTGGCTGGTGATGTAGTTTTATGGCTTCTGTATTGTATGTCCTATCCACCTCTAGCGACTTTTCCTAATTTTCTCCTCAGTTGGGAGTTAGTTTGATCTCTCCCACAGTAGGTTGTTACTGATGGTATCCGACCAACGGACATTCAGTATCTTGTGTAGACAATTGTTTATAAATACTTTTATTTTTTGGTGATGGTTGTGGTAGTTCTTCAAGTTTCATCTCCGTTCAGTGAAACTGTCGTGACGTTCGTATTGAAGACTTTGACTGTGATGTTGACTGACAGTTGTTTTGAATTTCATATGTTCTTCAGTTGTAGGAATGTTGACCTTGCTTTGTCAACTCTTCCCTTCACATCTACATCAGATCTTCCTTGT